AGCGCCGCCCCCCCCCCCATTCGTTCGCCCGCCCCTGCCGCCCACGCCGACCTGGCGCAGCATCTGATCGAGCACGTCGAGGCAGTGGGCTGCGCGAAAGCATTCGACATCGGCTACTATCATCACTTGGACAAGGATAAAGCCACCCACGGGCCATCGCTGGCCAATAATCCAGCGCTGGCGGGCGGGATCGGGAAGAGGAGGATGAGAGGGATGAGGAGGAGGATGACGAGGAGGATGAGGTGAGGATGATGAGGAGGGGGTGACGAAAATGTGGAGGGACGAGGAGGGGGAGGTAAGGAAGAGGAGGAATATGAGGAAGAGGACGCGGGGGAGACCGAACAGGAGGAGAAGGATGGATAGGAAGGGCAGTCAAGATGATGATGGCGATGGGGGGATGAGGGGGATGACGCCTACGATGGGGATGATGATTATGTTGATGATGATGATGATGCTGATGATGAGGATGATGAGGATGCTGATGATGCTGCTGCTGATGATTATTATTATCAGTATTAACATTATTAAGCTGCGTCGGCTAACGACTCGAGTGCCGCGGGGCGATGGTGGCGCGCACTCGCCCAGGCTGGGCATGGCCGAGACCCTCCGCGGAGCAACCGTGTCCGATTCCCCCCGAGGAGGGCTGGCGGCGCTCCTTGTGGGGCCACCACCCGCGCCCCCCAGGGGCACGCTGCAACCCCTTGCGGTACGCCCGCGAGGCCCAGCACGAACGGCCGCTGGAGACCACGTGGTTATTCGTGGCCGAACCGTTGCTATTGCAACAGAGGCTGTCGAGCACCAAAAAACGGCGCCGTCGATGATGATGATGATGATGATGATGATGATGCCGATGACGATGAATAGTATGATGATGATGCTGATGATGATGATGGTGGTGGTGGTGGTGGTGATGATGATGATGATGAATGGTGATGATGATTATGTAAACGTGGTGGTGATGTTGTGTGCGGTACTACTTCCCTCAAAGGCGGCGTTGGGAAACCGATGAGGTCGATGGCACTATCTGGATGGGCGTGGAGAACTCTGGGAAGATGATGGCGGTGACGACACCAGTCGGGTGTAGGATGGCTAAGAGGAGTAGGGGGGGCAGACCGCGAGGACGAGAAGGAAGGCGGCTCCCCCCAACACACTCCCTCCTCCGTTCCCTGTCTCCCGATCCCGTTCCCTCTCCCTCTCCCATGCACTGTCCCTCTCCTTTTCCGTCTCCCTTCTCCCCCTGCTCCCTCTCCCTGGCCCCTTCTCTCCCCCTTCTTCCTCTCCTTCTCCCCTCCCATCTCTCTCTCTCTCCCTCTACCGTTCTCTCTTTTTGTTTTGTTTGTTTTCTCTCTCTCTCTCTCTCTCTCTCTCTCTCTCTCTCTCTCTCTCTCTCTCTCTTTCCCCCCCTCCTCTCCGCCCATCCCTGTCTCACTCCTGTCCCGTCGCCCCCGTCATCCGCCCCAGGTGGAGATCTTGCTTCGGGACATTCCCGACGCGGAATGCAAGTGGGTCACCATCCGCGACGCGTGCATCAACGCCCTGACGCGGTTCCAAACCAAACATTAGAATTAACGGGGGTGAGGGGCGAGGGGGAGGGCGACGATGCAGTCGAATTTGGAGGAGGGATGCGTACCAGAGAGGGCGCGAGGGCTAGCAGCATAAATTTTTGTATGATGATGATGATGCTGATGATGCTGGTGATGATGGTGATGACGATGATGCTGATGATGCTGATGATGATGAGTATGATGATGATGCTGATGATGATGATGATGATGATGCTGATGATGAGGGGAGGGTGTGCCCCCATTTGCCTGCCCGCCCCACCTCCTCGTCGCACGCGTGCCCCCCCCCAGAATCCCTCCATCGCCCCTCGTCCACCCACTGCTCCTTGCGTTGCCAGCAGGTTCCCCCGTGCTTCCAAAGAACCTGTTGGCACACCTGAAGAGCGAGGTGGATCGCTAGCTGATAAAATGTCATGCATGCTCAAGCACCTCCGACGCATACGAGATAACGCTGACCGCCGTCGGCAGGCATCGGCGCGGGGGTGGGGAGGACGGGAAGGATAAGGGTGAGGAGGAGGAGGAGGAAGAGGGTGAGGAGGCGGAGTAGGAGCAGGAGAAAGAATGACGATGACGAGGAGGAGGAGCCGTCGGGAGAGAAAGTTGTCGATCTGGCGTTGGCCAGACGTCAGCATACCATCGGTATGGCGTCGGTCTGACGTCGGGCTGACGTCAGACTGACGTCAGCTCTGACGTCACACTGACGTCATACCGACGTCCGATATGACGTCAGGTTGACGTCAGACTGACGTCAGACCTGATGTAGGACTGACGTCATATATGACGTCGGCCTGACGTCGGACTGACGTCAGACTAACGTCCCGACGTCAGACCTGACGTCATACTAACGTCAGACCGACGTCAGACCTGACGTCAGACTAACGTCAGACCGACGTCAGACCTGATGCCAGGTCTGACGTCAGACCGACGTCAGACCTGACGTCAGACTAACGTCAGACCGACGTCAGACCTGACGTCAGACTAACGTCAGACCGACGTCAGACCTGACGTCAGACTAACGTCAGACCGACGTCAGACCTGACGTCAGACTAACGTCAGACCGACGTCAGACCTGACGTCAGACTAACGTCAGACCGACGTCAGACCTGACGTCAGACTAACGTCAGACCGACGTCATACCTGACGTCAGACTAACGTCAGACCGACGTCAGATCTGACGTCAGACTAACGTCATGTATGATGTCATGACAGACCGACGTCATACACAACGTCATATCTGACGTCATACCGACGCCAGACATGACGGATCGCCGTGGGTGCCCCGAATCCTCACGCCCTTGTCGCTCGCCTGCCTCCCTTCGTCTCAAACTCGCACGCCCTACCTAACCCCTCCGCCCAAACCTCGCTTGCTAGCCGATCCTATGGAGGCGATGCGGCAGTGCAACGACACCCAGAAGGACAACCTCATGTTCTACCTGCACCTCATGGGCGTGCACCCAGAACCAGCTGGGCCGAGTCCCCGCCCCAGGACACCGATTTGCATTGTGGGCGGGGATGAGGAGGAGGAGGAAGAGGGGGAGGGGGGGGAGGAGGATGAGGAGGAGGAGGATGAGGAGGAGGAGGAGTGATTAGGAGGCGGCCCAACTGATGCCAACAACGGTTAACCACCTCCAGGCTCCAGGAGGGAGCAAGAACATCAGGAGAAGGATGGATGAGGAGGAGTGGGAGGAGGAGGAGGGGGATGATGAGGGAGAGGATGGGGAGGGAGGTCCAACAGATGCCAGACCCGTTCAAAACACGTGAGGGAAGAGAAGGAGGAGGGCGATGAGGAGGAGGGAGATGATGATAACGATGATGATGCTGATGCTGATGATGATGATGCTGATGATGATGCTAATAAGGAGGGGGAGGAGGGAGGAAGAAGAGGGCTGATGAGGGACGAGTAGTATGAGCAGGATGAGGATGAGGAAGAGGATGAGGAGAGCGAATGATGAGACGGAGAGGAGGAAGAGGGGAGATGCGCGGTTGTGCATGGTACGCTAATATTGAAGTTAGGCGTATTGGTTGGGAACAACACATGAACACGCGTCCACCAACCGTCTCTACCAGATATCACATGATGCCCCCATCGTCGTTCTACTCCTCCTGCCTTCTCATCCTGATCCCCATGCCTCATCCTCATGCGTCGTACTTCAACCTCAAAGATCGTAGTAGTTCCCTTTCCTACGCATCGTCCTAGAACGTGCTGCATCATCACCATATCGCCTCGTCGCCTCTCTACCCCTGGGCCACTCTCCACGCCTGCCCCCGTCGGTCTCGTGCAGGTTGCCCTCCCCCGCCGCTGCCGAGCCCAGGCCGACTGCGGCGCCCGCTCCGCGACGTTCCCAGACCCACGCGGGCGCCTACTACCCCGACGAGGCCATCGTCCCCCTGGAAGGCCCCTGGCGCAAATCATCCCCATCACAGGAGGACAGGTTGGAGGTATGGGGAGAAGGCTGGAGGTAGGGGAATGGCTGGAGGTACGTATGGGGAAAGGCTGGAGGTAGGGGAACGCGACGGGGGACAGACTCGAGGTAGGGGTGTGGGTAGAAGTGCCGTAGCGACGAGGATGGGACGGTGGCGGAAAATAACATTACAGTTTCCATCCTTTCACGCAAGGCGGCGAGGCCGAGGACGGCGACAAGCTGGACATCGAGGACGACGGCGACGCGGGCATCACCGACGACGAGCCCGCGGACGGCGACAAGCTGGACATCGAGGACGACGGCGACAAGCTGGACATCACCGACGACGGCGACACGCTGGACATCACCGACGACGGGCTCAAGGCCGCGGCGCCGCTCCGTGCGTCCGTCGATCTCCTCCTCTTCCTTATCCCACCCTCCTCCTCCTCCTTCTCCTCCCCGTCCTCATCATCCTCGTCATTATCTTCTTCCTCGTCCTCGTCCTCATCCTCATCTCCCCCTCTTCCTGTTGCACAATCCTCCTCCCTGTCCTCGCCAAACTTCCTCACCCTGTCACCTCGTATTCCTCCTCCTCCTCCTCCTCCTCACCCAAACCCCATAAGTTGCAAGGATGGACAGCTAGTCGTGTTCAAAAGTGGGCTCTTGCTGGACAGATGAAAAGCTCTTGGCGTTCAAAAGTGGGCTCTCGTCTTTTTCAAGCACTGGCCTCGTGTTCACAACAAAATTGCTCTGACAATAACCAGCATCATCACCAGCAACATTGAAACTGCCGTAAACTCTTGCTGGACAGATGAAAAGCTCTTGGCGTTCAAAAGTGGGCTCTCGTCTTTTTCAAACGCTGGCCTCGTGTTCACAACAAAATTGCTCTGACAATAGCCAGCATCATCACCAACAACATTGAAACTGCCGTAAACACAGTCGCCCCCACCGTCGACCAGTTGCCATTTGGTGCGAACAGCTGCAGCGAGCTCGCGTAGCACTGTGCCGTCGCGCGATGGCTGCCCCCTCGCCCCAGGAGCGTCGGCGCTGCCGGAGCAAGGGCGTGCCCGCAGCCGCCGTGCCGATCAGCGCCGCCTCGCGCTGGGGGGCGGGCCCCAGCGACCCGCGCAGCACGTTTGCGGCATCGGAGTTCGAGGTGGCGTTGAGGACTTCGCCATCGGAGGCTCATCGCCGCCAGTGGCGCGGGCAGAGCTGGGCGGCGCCCGCCGCGAAGGCCGACTCCAGCGAGGAGGCGGTCAAGGCAGCAATGCAGGAGGCTAGGCGTGCAGAGGTTGAGAGTCAGATTGCAAATGACGTTGCGACTCTCTTGGCCCAGGCGCAGCCCGATGATGGAGAATGGCAGCGGCGTGCAGCAGCTGAGGCTTCAGGTGGCATGTCCGAGCCCAAGGCGGAGGCCAGCGCCGAGGTTGAGTCCATCAACTCGTCGGGGCACCCGTCCGAGGCCGAGGCTGGCGGCCCAGGCTCCTTCACCCCGCTCGCCATCAAGGCGAGGACCAAGAGCCGTGCGTCTCCAAGCCCTTCTGAGAGCCAATCGCCTCCGTCGAAGCGGGCAAGGATCATGGCGAAGACGGCCGCTGAGCAGTGCAGTCCGATCTACACGCCGACGCCAGAGGCCGAGTACGACGCGCAGACGGTGGACCAGCCGAAGGTTGCCGTTTTGTGTTTCGGAGATCGCCCTGACTCGGGCGGGTCCGAAGGGTCATGAAGAGCTCTGGGGGGGGATGTGGGATTTTGGGCGGCAAGTTAGCAGGGGGTGATGGGAGGGGCGGGTAGGAAGATGCAGCCCTCGCCCCTTGATTCGTCCGATGCTCTTCATTACACCGCGGCCCCGCCCAAGTGAAGGCGAGATCCGAAATGCATCATTTATGCAGGTTTCGTCCCAGCAGCCCGAGCCGACAGAGGAGGTGCCGATGCCCCCAGTGGACGTCGGGCCACGCGTGCTCTTCCCCGAGCTCGGCGACATCTCCGCGCCCGTCGTGCGAGACACCGCGCTCCGCCGCGCGATGTCCACGGAGTCCTTCGCGTCGGACGCCGCGACGCTGCGCATGGCGAGCTTTGGGAGCCTACAGGGCGCCGATGACGAGCACATTGACGACGACTCGTTGCTGGAACTCGCTGCCTGGATGAAGGACAGCGGCTCGTCGCAGGAGGACTGAGCGTTCGCATGCGTGTTGCGATCAGATACGCGGGGTTCACGCTGGTGATTGGGCACCATTTCGGTTGACTACTATCGAGGCCCACGTGGCCGAAGCTTGCGTTATTGCGATGGTACAGTTGCATAACTATTCAGCACGCATTCCGCGGCTGTTTGGGGTAGCCAAGAACACGAGGCAATCGTCATCATCGTATTTGGAGTTGGCAACATCGTGGCCATCATCGACACGCAGTGTCGTCACAATCATCATCGCCACCGTCAGCATCGTCGTCGTCGCCGAGGTCGTCGCCGTCCCCACTGGTAAACATAGTGCAATCGGTACCATCGTGGCACTCTGAGCTACCGCCAGCATCGCCATCACCGCCACCACCACCGACACCATCACCAAAGTACCACATCAATATCGTGGCACACCGCCACCGTCATCATCATCATCAGCCTCATCACCATCACCATCACCATCACCATCATCATCATCATCATCATCAGAATCAGCATCATCATCACCATCCTCCTCCTCATCATCATCACCATCCGCAGCATAAGCATCAACGACATAGCCATCATCATCACCTTGCCACATCCAAGCCACGATCCGATTTGCGATGCGCTCCCCGTCCCACCCCCCCCACTCCAAGTCCTTCGCCATGGCCAGTTCCACATGAGTTCCCTTCCCCGTGTTCTCATTATATATACGCATGTTCCCCGCCCGCCGCCAGGAGCTCGCCCAGTGGATGGGCGCGGGGGAGGCCAAGGCCAGCCTCTTCGACGATGAGTCCGATGACGAGAAGATCTTGGCGTTCGCCAAGGGCGCCAAGGCCGTGGATGCCAACGAACGCCGCTTGAAGGCGTTGGGGGCGACATCGAATGGGGTGATGCCAGGAGTAGTACTGGGTAAGATTACATAGGCACGCATGGGCCTCGGCAGCTATGGATGTCAAGAAGTTGAAGGGAGTGGTTGATGATGATGATAATGAGGAGGAGGAGGAGGAGAAGGCTGACAATGAGGAGGGTTTGGGGGGTAAGGAGGAGGAGGAGGAGGAGGAGGAGGAGGAGGGGGAGGAGAGGGATGACGATGGCGATGATGACGAAGGACGGAGAAGGATGATGATGAGGGATACGAGGATGAGGGGAATGGCGAGGAGGAGGACGGGGATGAGGAGGATGACGATGAGGGCGGCGGGGATGACAATTTATGCGAAGTGGAGTAAGGAGGATGAGGAGCTGGACGACGACGAGGAGGATGATTGGGAGCTGGAGACAGAGACGCCACGTCCTCACCATGAGTCCCTAACAGCGATCCCACGACTGTCCCTCTCCGCATCTTGCCCTCTCTCCCCGCCTCGATAATCGGCCCCGTCTTCGCAGGCTGGCATCAAGGGCGCCAAGAAGGACAACGTGGTTGTCGCCAAGGGGAGGCCCGCTGCGAGGGCGGCGGCGCCCATCGTCCACCGAGACGAGTTCCCGCGCTCCCTCGATCACCCCACCATGGGGAAGCTCTCGGCGGCATACGCCACGAATGCATCTTACATTTGCTTTAGAGATGATCAGCGCAAACCACGGCTCCTAGTACAGATTGGAGCCAGCATGTCTGAAAATCACGGCCAGCTCTGTGCAAAGGTCCTTGCATACGTGTGCAAGAAGGGTTGCAATGAGGCGCAAGCTGTAGCATACCGTGATTCGCTGCTTGGCAAGTAGCGAGTGTTACATGGTTAGGAGGGGGAGGATATTGAGGCGGGGGTTGGATTGAGAAGGGGTTTCATGAGAAAGGGTGGCGATGGGGGCCATGAGGGGGCAGTCTGGATTCCAGGATGGGTTGCCGACGACGGATTGCGATCATCAGACGGGCCAGCGGCGCTCGCATCGCGATGCCGAGAGTTTGAACTTGCTCGTGGTCGCATCCGTCTGTTGGAGTAGGTTGGGGTGCTACTCCTCGGCAGTGCACGATCTCGTATTGTGATTATACTGCTTATTGGGCGACGTCCAAAATAGGCAATGTTCCCCCGATGTTTATTATCATGCCCCAATCCACGACGTGGTTGGAATATGTTTGTTTCGGAATAGGCTTGCCGAGGGGGTATGCAGGTCTACCCTGATCGAGTGCAGGTGGTGATCATATGTACGTTGCGATCCACATTGATGGATAATCATCCTCCCCCATCCCTCGCCCCATCCCCCTCATCATTAAACCGCTCCTCCATCTCATCCTTGCATTCTGTATTCAGTGTTCGGCGCCTCTACCTTTGGAATGGAGGCCCGATGCCGAGGCACGCGCTTTGGCGTTATACATTCTCCCGGAGAGGGGCAGCCCCCCAGGAGTGGATGCAGGAGTAATATGCGAGGGTTAAGGATTGCTTGAGTGATTGTGATATCTATATGTATATATGTATATATGTGGAAACTCATCATCTCGGGATTGAGATGATATTGCACAGTCGGTGCGCACTTAGAGCCGACTTTAGCCCACGTTCTGGCGGGATACCCCAGCCGATCTCGCCAAGTAAGTGTTGTTTGGACATGTCTGGGTACCCAAATCATCGGTATTTCAGGTTCACGTGTCCACGCGCTCGCCCGACTTGGTGTCGGCTGGGCAGGTGCAGTGTCAGAAATCGAGTTGAACCACACACTATGATCTGGTATTATTTCACATGTGCAATGTATGCGGAACCGTCAATGGTATGACGCCAGTCTGACGTCAGTCTGACGTCAGTCTGACGTCAGACGCAGACCGTCTGACGTCAGACGCAGACCGTCTGACGTCAGACAAAATCGTATGACGTCAGACAAAATCGTCTGGCGTCAGGCGGTTGCGTCTGACGTCAGACTGACGTCAGACTGACGTCAGACTGACGTCAGACAGACGTCATATCACCAAGTTCTCACCATATCATGATGTCTAATGTACTCACAGTAATGCATGATACAAAATGTGTTTGCCAAGTTGATAATTTGACGCCGTAGAGGGTTATTGGCTCGAGTGTTCGAGGCGAGTTCGGGCCAGATTTCGTTTGTTGCGCAGTATTTTCGAGCTGTGCGATGGCGCCGAAAGTCATGAAAGCCGTCATGGAAACGAAAGGGACGAGAACTCCGACGGCTGCGCCGAAGTTTCTGGCCCGTGCCCAGGGCAAGGGCTAGGGCAAGGCGAAAGCAAAGGCAAAGTCAAAGGCCCCGGCGTCTTCTGACAGGGAGACGTGGGCGGGAGAGAATGCGTTTAGGATTCGGTCGCACGCCTGGCGTCACAGCCCGTCACCTCGGCTGGTCACATAGGATCAGCCGAGGTGACGGGATGTGACCCCCTATTTGCTTGCAATCAAATAGGGGGTACACCCCCTATGTGATTGCAATCGCATGGGGGGTGTAACATCTGTCATTCATCCATCGCTGCCGTCCCGCAGGTGGAGCTCGGAGAGGCTGCAAGCTGCCGCGCTCAAGTGCAAAGATACCGATGAGAAGGTGAAGCTCTTCCACGACCACGCCGACATGACTAACTTGGCCCACATGCGCTGCATATTCGTTCCTGCCGAGATCAAGACCGAATTTTCTTTTGAAATGCCTATCATACCCGCCCATCACGACCCTCATCCGCTTTCTGATCCCCCCATCCTCGTCTACCCATCATGACCATCTCCTTCATCATACCTCCCATTCATACCCAACCCCCCCTCATCCTACACCCCCCTCTCACCCTCCCGCCACCATGTAATCCCGCGCCTGCACCAATCCAGGAAATTGTACGGCCGCTTCAAGACGGCGCGCAAGAAGAACGCCGATGCCGAAGCAACCTTCGCGTCGGTTCCTGTTTGAAAATGGGGAGGTTATACGTATGGAGCTTGATGTCATTACGGATCAGTTCTGACTTGTTCGGGAGGTCGGGCAGGGGTGGCAGGTATATTAATTACCAGCGATAGTTCGCCATTTCGCTAGGCCATGCAGAAACGCCACCTGGTTTGTGATGTGTCGGGGTAGATTGGGAGGGGGGGGGTCGTGATCGAACTACTCGACGTCGGGGGGCCCGTCTGGTAGCGACTTGACCACCCTCTATACCCCGAAGTCGTACCGTGCGATGCCACTCCCTCCCCCGAGCAGGTTGACCACGGCGAGTCGGAGGCCGACGAGGGCAAGAACGTCTCGAAGGCGAAAATGCCCGCGGCCTTCCTCAAGGACCCCAACTTAGGGGACACGTTCATGACGGTGTGCCAGCAGCTCCAGTATTCTGAGAAGGTGGATTGCGAGGAGGAGTGGGTGAGCCGCAAGCAATTGCTGGACGTATACTCCGAGAGCGAGGCCGAGGAGATGATCAATGAGCAGAAGATCATTGTTCGGCCGTTGTGAAGTTTGACTGCGCTGCCCCCCTCGACTAATGAGGCGTGCGAAAATCCAGGCCCATGTGGGCCGCGGTGCCGCCCCCTCACCTTGTCTCCAACTGATTGGCGGACGTGATAACACATAAGTATTAGACAGATGGCGTGGGCGAAGAGGGGGGATGATTGGGA